AAGGAATGCCAGTTAGCAAGTTTTCTTAGTCACTCCCAGTGAGTGTACAAAACACTCATGTTCATGTTGGTAGGGTTGGAAGCTTTGGAAGGGATACACAACATGAATTTATCTTCAACAAGAAGAGTAGGTACTGACTCTGGAGTACTCAACTGTCATCAAATAAACCAATTAGTGAATTCCAATATGTTGCTATACCTCAAGGGAACCTAAGCCAGCTACTTAAGGGTAGCCTAAAATCCCTGGACCCTTTCCATAATGCAACTGCAGCCATTTGTCCTCACTAACTAGACATTTGTTCTAGCAATTGGATTTACTTTTCTTTCCCATTATGCCTGTGTCAATGGTCATAGCAAATGACTTACTGAATGCCCTAACCACTATCACAGTGTCTCACATATTGCTGTCTCCTTTCAAGGAATACCATTCACAGAGAAGGAAGAAAGACAGTGGGCTGGTGCCCCTGTGACATAAAGGCCTTCTTATATGTTTTACCAGGGAGAGACAGTTGTCCATAGAACACTGAAATAACCTACTAAAGACTCTGAATCAGCGGGGGCACTTAAATGGTGTATGATCAAACAGCTATATCATGTGCTCTGAACTACACGATGCTGCTTTACCCAATTCAGAAAACATGGTTCTGGAGCCTAAATGTAAAGCTTGGTGAGGAAACTTACAATTACGCTTAATACTCACTGTGAATCTTAAATTTATGTGTCAAATTGGCTGGGCCACGGATGCCCAGAAAGTTGATCAAGCATTATTTTGAGTGCTTCTGCGAGGGTATTTTTAGATGAGATTTAACATTTAAATCGGTAGACTTCATAAAGCAGACTGCCCTCGCTAATGGGTGACCCCCATCTAATCAGCTGAAGGCCTGATAGAACAAAAGGCAGACACTAACCCAAGAAAGAGAAAATTCTCCAGCCTGATCACCTTTGAACTGGGATGTTGATTCTTCCTAGTTCTACAGTAGCTTGCCAGCCTTTGGACTCAAACTGGAAGATCAAATTACAGATTTGGATTTGTCAACCTCAATTAGCATGTGAGCCAATTCCTTATAATAAATTTCTCTCTATACATATGTACTATTGGTCTGTTTTACTAAAGAACACTGACTAATACATTCACTTTCAAATATTTTGCTTCACATTCCCTTGGTTTTGAACTCTTCTGGTTGAGATGTTTTAACACCAAAGAGGAATGGTAGCATATGAGACAGTAAAATTTTCATTGAATTGAAGCTAACACTTGGGCATTTTGAGGCTCCTCGTACCACTAGACTAACAGGCAAAAAGACAGATAGGGTGTTAACTGGTATAACTGACTCTGATTCCCAAGAAGAAATTAGGTTTGCTGCTATATAATGGGAAAAGGGAGTACTAATAGGACCTCTACTCCGATCATTGGTTTAGCTGTAAGGGCTAGGTTACATACAGTCACAAACAACCCAAAATCTTCATGGCATAATCTCACAGAGGCTTCTTTATCATCCATTCTACAGGGATGTGGGGTAAGCGGGGCTGGGGGTAGGGGCTCTCTCGCGTGGTTTTCACTCTGGCATCCAAGCTAACCAACAGGCCAATATTCAATACTGCTGGTCACTGGGGTAGAGGAAAAGAAAGAGTGGAAAATTTACTTTCTGCTCACAGTTTATTGTAAGAGAAAGCCATATAGCCACTCTTAATGCCTAAGGTGAAAGGACTGAAATCAAGATCAAGTGCCTGGCAGAAGACCTGGAAATATTTGATAAACAGTACTAATACCGTCAGGTACTACCATGCCTGTCATTCAAGGCACACGAGAAACAAATTCAGCCCTATACAAGCAGTACTACCAAAATCTCAGACCTATCAGGTAAAAATATTTGAGTCACTACGCTGGGGAAACATTTCCAAGAAGCTGAGAAATGTTTTATGTTTCAGCCACAGTTTTCAATCAGTAGTAAAACCAGGACTATAGACTTTACATGTGTTTTATTCTTTGTATTATTAAGAATATCATTTAATGAAATTCATATTTAGAGTTAAATATGTAATTTTCTCATTACATTTCTGTATATTGAGACTAAATGGATGAAGGGAAAGGAGAAAGTAGTCATCTCCAGAGATGTTTTAGAGAACCAGGACTTGAAGCTGGATATAGTAACAATATGAGACTTGGGGTTGTCTACATTTTAGGAGGATGTGTATTTTTGACTACATATTTAGCAGTAGCAATATGTTGAATGGTATATTTTTTTCAACTTTTATGTTCAGCAAAGAAGAGATATTGGATAACTCAATGGTTGGACCGTGGTGAACACCTATTGTTTATTCCCACCGAGAATTCATCTTCCATCCTCAGGTTATATAGCATCCTCATTTGGTTTTGAGGAGACAAACAATTTAGATAATAGTCTTGACAGGACTGTTAGTCAAGATGCTCCATCCCAAAGTAGCCCAGGCTGTGGCATGGGAAACAAGAGAGGCTAATAAATATGCTTCTCCTGGGGATATAAATTTTGAATATAAAAGCAAGAATACCAGAAACAATTGGAATCAATTTCTCTTAGCAGTAACTCCTACAGACTCTGTCTTTTTAGTCATAATTTCCTCAAATTGTCCTGATTCCTATCCTTTCTGAAACATAGTTCTTCATTTTTCCATTAATTATATGAGCTACTTCATAATTTTCCAGTAAACTCTATGTTGGATCATAAGCCAGATTATATATCTGTTGTTTATAGAAAAGTCAATCTAACTAATGCCATATTCAACTTTATAATTGATTAGCCATGCAAATAAAAATGATAAGGATATATTTTCACCTAGTATATTTAACAATAATAAAAATTACTGAAGATAGCCAATTTAAAGTAGGGTGTGGGAAATAAAACATTATATATTGCTGCTGGGATTATAATTTGATACAAACTTTTTGTATAGTAATTTGGCAGAACCTGAGAAGTAAAACTGAAAATATTTGAATATGCTTCTAAAAACAGATAAGTTGATAGACATTAACTTAAATTATGCCAATTATTTAAAAGTGCAGGCAATATAAATATTTCCCAATAACAGAATAGTTAACAAAACTATGGAATACTGTGCAGCTCTTAAAAACATTTAAACTGATCAATATCTACTGAACTCAAACAATATCCACCATATGCTTTTGAGTAAAAGGAAGCAAGTTGCAGAGCAATAAAAAAAACTACAGTCTAAGTTATATTAAAAAATCCATTTATCTATGCAACACATATATGTCTGTCGATATATGAATACATTGTATATATATGAATACGTTCTATACATAGAGTAGTTTTTATATTTATAGAAGTTCTTGGAGGATATGCACAAACAATTCACAATAATATCCTTGAGAGGTGGTAGTGCTTAAAGTGGGGCCCTTAACTTAATTTCTAAATAATATTCATTGTAGCGTGGAATTGTACAAGTACACTTATTACTTTTATTTTTCAGTATATTAAACTAGAGAAGATAATAGGATGGCTAACAGTTAAAGAGTAAAAGGAAACATGTAATAGATATTTAAAGTGGAGTAGAAAAAAATGAAATGAAATGAGAAAACAAGGCTAAAATCAAGGTTATTGCAATAAATTTACATAGAGCTACAAAGTGATTATATTATTGATTATTAATTAATAAATGATACTGATAACAAATAACAGTCATCGAGGACATATTATGTGGTAAGCACATTTTTATATGCTTCATGGGTAACACCCAACTTAATTTTATAACTAGCCTATGAGGCAGGTACTATTCCTTCATTTCACGGAAAAGACCATGACGACACAGGGTGGTTAAATGATAAGGTTTATAATTAGCAGAGTCGTTACGTATTTAGTTTAACTATAAAATACAAGCAAATCCTGGATTTACTTGGTCTGGTGGACCTACAGAGGTCTTGGAGTAGCTAAACTTCTTAATGCAAAATTCCTTAATCCTGCAGATTAAGAGCTACTTCTTTGAAGTTCAGAGAATACTAAAGAACAAGAAAAAGAGGCATCCTGACTGAGCTTCTGTGTTAATATCAAGACTTTACTTTTCCTTGTCTTTAACTAGACTGGAACGTCCAGCATGTGTCTCACCTAGCCAATAATCTGACCATGATCCTCTACCTGGTGGAGTCTGGAGTTTGACAAAGGCAGTGTTCTGAACTAAATTCAGGTGAGCCTGCCTTCTATAGCAAGGAGTTCCACCCATCATGGCTCAGCATTTGGAAACTAGCCCTGGACAACAGGTAGCAGGCAATGGAAGACTTATTTTAATCATACCGATTTTGTTTTTTTTAAAGAAGTTTATTTATAGAGCTTTTGTCTACTTCATCTGGTCTAATGTTTACTATCATGTTGATAGAGAGAAATCAGATCAGTGGAAGAAAATGACATTAATTAGTTAACTAGGCCAAGTTAATGATGAATTATTTCAGTGCATACTTGTGATATCAAAAGTATATGGTATCTGTTGAAAAATAATTGTATTTCACTACACCTTGCCTATTAATAAAGTATCTTATAAAAGAGTGATATGTATTAGAGTTTGTAAGTAGTAAGTGAAAAAATCATATTATGATTTCCATTCTTTGTTAACGAGAAGAATTAAAAAAAAGTTTTTTTATTCTGTAGTAGATCTATGTCCTATATTTAATAAAGGGAAGGAGAGCAGTTCTTCTAACACATAGATGGTTTAGTAATTTAAGGACCCAGCTAATATATGTGTATGTCTGTGGTGTGATTATTCTTATTAACATTACTACTAGCAGTATGAGAATTACTTCACAATATTTAGAAAGGAGGAAAATCTTATTGAAACAGGCCGTTTTGAAAAACAGCACCTGCGTTAGTTTCTCTTATGTAGTTGATATTCAACGCTGTTTTGTATACTAATCTGGCTGCTGTATTTGAATAAAATTACTTCTAGGTTTGTCTGGCTGCTTATTTAATTAATTAGTGTTAAATGAATTAATGGTAATAATATATATAGGCTTACCCTGGCATTGGTCCATTTCCAGCAAGACTGTAAACCTGACGAGGATTTAGCAGATATTGGAATTTTCTGTAAATTCTATAAAGATGAAAATATGGAAGGAAAAAATAAAATTCAGCTATATTTTTATTCTAAATATGCACATGCATTTAGAACACTCTCTATCCTGCTTCTGAATGTTATTTAGCTAATAAGAGTTCAAATTAATATTTTAAAATATCAGTATACAATTAGTTAAATATCTTCTCTTAATAGATCCTTGGGAAATATACAGATTATTGGGCCAATCTAACAGAGATGAAAGTTACTTATCCCATATGTAAAATGGGATTGGACACTGTATGCATGAAAGTAAAGACTGTGACTTTAGCTGCTTAATTATTTCACATGAACAATCATCTTGATGAGCTAGATCACAAAATTGCTAAACGATTTCTACAGGCACATATTAAATAATTCATTTTTTTCTGAAAGAACTCAATCTTTGCATAACAAATGCAACAGAAATGTTTCTAAGTACACACACATCCCATATCATAATTCTGAGACAAAATATTAAAAGTGAAGGAATATACTTGGTTTTTAAAATTAGTTTTTATATATACATGTGAAAATATTACTATATATCTTAACATATTCATATTATGTGTACTGAAACTCTCCAAATATCTACTTATATCCTCCCACGTCCTTGTGCAATACCCTCACATTCTAGATCTTGAATAATGATATCACCTAGCATCTCAAGAATGATCTTAGAGTCATTCTCAGTACCTCCTTTTCCCCAGCACCCAAAATCAAGGACAATCCTGCACCTTCTAACTGAGTAATGTCTATCATACCTGGTTACTCTCACTGCCTTACAAGTTCTCTCACCAGCTTTGTAAAAGTCTTGCCTATTCAGCCTTCTTCTGTACTTCTATTTAAGTACAGTCATGTTGTTTCCATGATGAAAAGTTCCTGTCAGTGGCAAGTTACTTTTTTTTTTTTTTTTGCAGTATGCGGGCCTCTCACTGTTGTGGCCTCTCCCGTTGTGGAGCACAGGCTCCGGACGCGCAGGCTCAGTGGCCGTGGCTCACGGGCACAGCCGCTCTGCAGCATGTGAGATCTTCCTGGACAGGGGCACGAACCCGTGTCCCCTGCATTGGCAGGCGGACTCTCAACCACTGCGCCACCAGGGAAGCCCGCAAGTTACTTATTAAATATTTTATTATATTTAAAATAGTTTATGTCTCGTCTTTCTCATCCTTCCTCTTAAACTTCAACCTCGCTGAATATCTCTTGGTTCCCTACCAAAACACCACACCTCTTTCCACACATCTGTCTTTTTTCTTCCTTCACCTGGCAAACATCTACTTATATCAGAACCAACTCAAAAGCTAGACTTCTGAGTCTTCAGAGACAATCATTTCTTCCTCTGAACTTCCATAGCACTTTTATTTTAAACATTCCTAGCTTAGCTTTTGCCTTGGGGTTACTGTAGTAAATCTGTTTACGTGTCTGCCTCCCTGTATGACCGTGTCTTCTGTCTCATCCCCAGTTCCTAGTAGAGACTGGATTCCCTCAAGTGCTGCTGTCTGAATGATGTGTCAACATTTTCACACCTGTTGGCTGGTATGGGAAACTATGTGTGAATATATAATTGTTACCTTTTTCTGCTCATCTAATACATCGAAGAAGAAAACCTACATATTTTGAAAGGAAAACCCTGAAGAGAATTCCATTATTTGTGAAAGATGCTTCTTATGCATTCAGGAGAATTTATGACTGCATTAATAATAGATTTCCTTTAAACATATTTATAATTCTTTTGACTTTGAATGGTCCCTGTTAGTGTACAAAGGACAAAGCATAAGTGGGTGTGCATATAGGAGCACTCAAATATCCTCCCTCTCCCCCATTAAATTTAGTTTACTGATGACTTCAGTGTATCTATCTGTAGATATATAGTTTTTAATTTAAAGAAAATTATTTTTATGTACTGGGAGAAGAGGGAGGCAGATATTCAATTAAGGGTCATTCTACATTATTAATGTTATCTTAATTTGAGGGGAATGTTTCCATTCGAAATATATATTTTTTCACTTGATACTTCATTTGTTTCTAATTTCCAACATGAATTTAAGTCTCATCTAATGCTTTGTGAAGAGTTTACTTCTTTTTCAAGATATCCATAATATATACAACTAACAAACTGTGAGTAGGAAAGGAGAAAATAAGTTTAGCATCATTATTCATTTATATACCTAAAAGTGAAGCAACTATTCTCTTTAATAAAGCATTGTAAATATTTTATATTATTAAATCACTAGTTATTTAAAATAACTTGCCTTGTTTAGCAGAGTTAAAAGTATAACTATACAGTGATAAAAGGGAAAACTTTTTAAGCAGAAATAATATTTTGTTGAATGGAAAATGACCATTCTTCATTTAATTGAAATGAAGCTGGAAAGTTAAATGGTAGGAGGAAAGGAAATTACTTTTCAAAATTCCTTTATTCATGGAAACATTTCAATTTCATTATTTGGTGAAACCACAATGTAAATTTCTATTTTATTATCATAGCGTCTGTGTGAGTGCTTTTATCTGATTGCTCATTTTTTGGCTGGAATTAGTAAAGAGTTCTAGAAATTATTAAGAAAGGTACAACTGCATTTCTGTTTCTGGCACTCCTTCTTAGAAGGACATAAGATTTACTCTTCAATGTGGTAATTTTCAGATTTTTATTAAATATTATGATTTAATCATTAATTTTACAAAAAGGAAAATTTTTTGTTGTCCACATGAATACTGAGATACCTGGTAATGCAGCTCATTGTTATTCTGATTAAATATACTGTGCTTCTCCAAGATATATGGCATTATGTTCTCCAAATGGACATGCAGAAAATCATTATAATATATTTTGTCTAGAAGCTGGATATAAATTCTGTTTCTAACTACTGGGCAATCATTTACCTGAAGTCACCTTGTTGATCATTTAGAGAACCAATTTTCATTCAACAGTATTTATGGAGTCATGTTGTATGCAATGCTCCTTGTTAATGGCTAGGGGTGATAGGCAGGGTAGAGAGAATTCAGACACCTGAGATATGATAATAAAAATATCTACAAAAGGCCATTATTATATTAAAATTTCAACTGTAAAAACAAGGAGAGATCATACCAATATACATTGTTATATAGAGGTGATAGCAACACTTATTTCACATTAAAATTAGTGAACCATGAGGTATAATATTTTTAAATGTTTTTATACTATAAATTTAGTTTATCTTTTTACAGATATATAACATAGTAAATAAATGTGATTTTTAAAAACATACCGTTCTCCTTGCTTCCCACCACTTTTGGGGTTCACAAAAACTAAAAGTGGATGAGTACCAGGAACAGGAGTGATCTAGAAGAAAAGTTGAATATGTGGACAAATTATTTATATTATATATAAAGAGAACCCCCCCCGTTATTTCTAAGTCGTGAAATGCCAATTAGCAAATTCAAGAATATGGTTCTTTTGTTCTGTAATGTGGATAGAGGATAGATAGATAACAGATAGATCTAATTAGCAACATAATTAAATCCTGTGCTTTGACTCCATATATATCAAAATAAATACCCACTCCACTAAGAGGTGATTTTTCTAGCTAGGAATAGGGCAGAGGGGAAGGCAGCTATGAAAAGGGAATAACCTCTCAATAGCTAGGAGATGAAAACAATAGGTACAATTCGTGGGATCGTGAGTAAACCATCCAGAATAGAGCGGATTATGGTGGTAAAAAAGATTAGAAAAGAAAGGGATCAAAGTATAAGTGAGCCCTACTCTTATAGACAATCCCTACTTTAGAGCTTTATAGCACATTTGGAATCCATCTTCCCAACCACTTGTGAACTAGAATCTAAATAAGATGGTTTGAGGCCACTTTCAGTCAGAGTCCCCATCTATACGATGTTTCCTCCATGCTTTCTTTTCCTGCTTGAGAAGAGATGCCAGTTAATTCAGTCTATTTGCTAAACAGGAATCCATTAAATTGACTGTGTCCCTATATGCCATGCACTGCTTTCATCACTATACATTCTCCTTTTAACCAAAAAAAGTGCCTGTCTTAGTGGAGCTTATATTCTGGTGGAGAAACAGACAAGAAACAAACAAATAGGGACTTCCCTAGTAGTCCAGTGGTTAAGAATCCACCTTCCAATGCAGGGCACACGGGTTCAATCCCTGGTCAGGGAACTATGATCCCACATGCTGCGGGGAAGCCCACGCGCCACAACTAGAGAGAAGCCCGTGCTGCAGGGAAAGACCCCGCGTGCCACAGCAAAGATCCCACATGCCGCAACTAAAACCCGACGCAGCCAAAATAAATAAATAAATAAATAGTTTTAAAAAAGAGAAACAAACAAATAAATACACATTTTGTAGTGAAAAGTATCACCAGAAATAAAGCAGGTGAGGTGCTAGCACTTCATCGGTTGGGGGCAGAAACTGTTTTTGATAGAGTGGCAAAGGAGAACGCTTGTATTTTACTTGAATTCAATGTTAAGAGGTAAGCTGTTTTAAATAAGAGTATTCCTATTCAGTGTATACCTATGTAACTCCCATCTAAACATAGTTTGATAAAACAATATTTTAATAACAAAAATATGCAACCAATGCAGTCCTCTAAATATTAAGTTGAAAAGTTTTAGATCAATTTACTTTTTGAAAGTAGAGTCAAAGTGTCCTCCATTGCTCTAGTATTTTTCCCTTAGAAAGTACCTGAAATATTTAATGAGAAGACTAAAAACAACCATTTTACCATATCAGGTTCTTCCTTTTGTTTAAACAATGTAAGTTAAAATACCCTACCAACATATTTTCCTCCAATTCTTGTGAAATGCCATTTTTCTAATGAGTATAGGCACTGGGAAATTGTTGAAATCTTCACACTATATGAGAAGGTTGAGTAAAATATTCTCAATTCTTATACTCTTACCCAACTTGTTCCCATTACAATCTATTCTTTCTGACTCTGTTTTACTTCCTCTTGTAAAGAGGACACATGGGTTTTGTTCCTGATTTGTCTCTCATTCAGTTGGGAGATGAGATGGACAAGCTGGATCTGTAGTAACTCCTCAGCTCTTCATCCATGAACTCCATGTGCTCAATCAGCTACTGGACAGAAAGTACCTACTAGCTTAAGACACTGTGCTATAAACTTGCAATGTGACTTCCCCCTCCCCCCATTAAAAGAAACACCAAAACACACCTCTGACTACTAGTATTCAGTTTCCTTTACTTCTCATTCTATTACAAAATCAGATAGACTCCTAAAGTTTTCACATGCAAAAAGTCAGACTAACAAATGTGGATTTTAGTTGATTTTTGCATTTAATTTGAATTGTTATTCCTTATTTTTAAAGAGAGGGGAGATTCTCAAGGTAAATAAAATATTTTAGCAAAACATAACATCTGAATCCAAATACTAATTAGGATGATCGTCCCAAAATTCAATATTCAGCTTATCATTACATGAGATTACATTAAGTTCATTTGGGTAAATTTCCATATTCATTTGAAAATATATTTTGGAATAACTTTCAGAAATATTTATTAATTGAAGTGTTTAAAGGCATAATTATGACTTATCAAATAAAGGACAGTACCACGCTACAGAAAATTGTGTTCTGAAGAAACACTATTACAAACAAATAAAGATCCCACTAAACTATATTATAGTCTGTAGAGGATCTGAAAATATAAAAACCTATAGGGGTGAGTAGATGGATAATTAGATCAAATGGATTAGATGTCTAAATAGGATAGAATGTAGATAAAGAATTTAGGATAACGATGATACTCTACAAGTGATAAAAGTCAAGAACCCAAAACGGAAGTACAGGAAATAATAAAATCAAATTAGCCAACTTTTCCTCACATATCCCCTTAACATAAATTATGCTTGTAAAATAAGACTGTATAAAAATTAAAAATTGGAAACTTTAGATATTTATTTGTAAGTTATCAGGGACAATGGAATACCCCTTTGACAATGATTCTAACAGATTAAAACACCTGACCTAATGTAACCTCCATTTAAGGAGTAGTATGTGATTCAATATCAAACCCACTAAAGCTCTGGTTTTAGGGGATCATTTAATGGTGGTATTTATACAAGAAATGTCAAGGTTTCAGGCAAATCGGCATCTTTTTCAATGCTCATTCAAAAAGCTTTTAAATTCTGCTAAACTTTGTTACTGTAAAAAGAAGGTCAATCTAGCAGAGTAAATTTAGGTGCCAGGAGACCAAAGGCAGCGTTTTTTAGATTTGAGAGCCAAAGACCTACAGTACTGCATGGCCATTTTCAAATCTACAAGTTAAAAATAAACAACTTCTGTGTTCACTAATAGTCCTGAAATAAGAAGCAGCATCTTAGTGACAGAGACTGCAATTTGTCACTTAATTCTTGTATTCCTCTTCATCCTTAGTAAAAGAACCCTGAGTTTTAGGATTGCCTACATATGAGGACATTCTCTTATGTAAACATAGCATGACCACCAAAATAGAGAACTTAACACGATTCTGGACTAGCTGCTTTTGTTATAAAAGCCATTATTGAGACAATTGGTGAAACTTGCATGGGATCTAAGGATTAGATAGCACTAATGTATCAATTTTATATTCAAGTTCACTAATTCTCTCTTGAACTGTATCTAATATAGTCTTTAACAGGACAAATTTTGGTTTTTTACTTTCATACAATAATTCTGAAATAAGATATAAAACTCATTTATTTTGGAAGGTGATGTACTGCAATCCTAAAATGTCATATGCATTTTGTTATAGACTTTAGAGGGATGGGAAGCAGTTAGACAAAAATACAAGTATTTTAAAAATTCTGTTAGCCTAAAACTATTTGATCTTGGAAGTAAATATTTTTATAGCACTTGAAGTAATTTCAAGTGGAACAGTATATAAAACAGATGAAAAGCAAATTACTATGTCTTAAGTGTGAAAGAACCCTGAACCTGTTCTCAGCTTCCCATCACCTCACTCTTGTGCTTGAGGCATCTCTACAGAGTCCTGGGCTTCTCAAAACAGTTTTTTAAAAAAACATCGGGGGGCTTCCCTGGTGGCGCAGTGGTTGAGAGTCTGCCTGCCGATGCAGGGGACACGGGTTCGTGCCCCGGTCCGGGAAGATCCCACATGCCGCGGAGCGGCTGGGCCCGTGAGCCATGGCCACTGAGCCTGCGTGTCCGGAGCCTGTGCTCTGCAACGGGAGAGGCCACAACAGTGAGAGGCCCGCGTACCGCAAAAAAAACAAAAAAAAACACATCAGGATAGGGTAATACAGTATAACAAAGAAAATACTGACGGCGGGAGAAAGTGTTCAGGAATATTTTACAGCGTGTGTGGTACTTGAAATCTTGCAGAATGGTTATAAATTAGGTGTGAAGGACACTGCAAGAGCAAACAGAATGGATTCTCCTCTTTAAAGAATAGAGCTAATCACGTGAGATTGTATTTACTCACATAAAGGGGCAGTTTCAATCATATAGAGTAAACACTGAAGAATAGGACTTTAGGGTCAGACTGGTTTGGGATCCCAGTTCAACCATTCCTTTCTACAGATATGCTCTCCCTTAGTGCCATCAATACGCCTTTCACTCCCAAATTCATATCCCTCCTCACCCCTGAATTCTAGATTCACATATCTGTCTGCCTGCTCGACATTTCCATTTGGATATCTAACAGCATCAGAAATTTCATTCCAAACTTTATTCATCCAGATCCTTTTCCATCTCAGTCAATGGCAACTTTATCATTTCAGTTCCATGGGCCAAAGTTCTTGGAGATGTCCCTACTCTTCACTTCTTAATGAGGCCTAATCCCACTATCTGACTTAAAATTATAGACAACTCCAACTCTCAGCCCTGACACATCTTATCTTATTCAGTTCCATTTTTTTCATTCCATTTATAACCCAGCACATTATATGGATGGAGGCATGGACTCATTTTAAAGGTTGTTGTATACTCCAAGTGTAGAATAGTAATTCTGGACTTAGAGAGGGAGTTAAAATGACGGTGAAGAGCTGATTATAAGAATCAACAGGCCTGAGGACTCCAAGTGGGCATACACACACATATCATCAAAGAAAAGGAGTTAATTTTAAACACACTCTATACATTTCTGTATAGTGCATATATGTATGTTTACAGTATTGGGAACTATAAGGATGAGATATTACAAATAATAAAGACAGTAGGGATAGAGAAAAGCAGTTGTGGTGGGGAAAACACTAGTTCAGTTTTAGATATTTCAGTATAAAAGTTCCCCTTTTTATCTTTTGCTAAGAGTATTACAAACTAGACTTTTTGGTTTGCAAGTGATGCTTATGCTTGGAAACTTTTTTCAAAGAATAATTAGGGACACAGTAACGTTGGCTTAATACAGTTTAAACAACAGTTCTGTTTTTTTACTTATCTGTTCACATGTGGATAATCATCTGTATTTTCACATCTATTGCACGTTAAGGAATTGTAGTTTCAATGACATTTGATCATATGTATTAAGTGTAAACCTATGGTATGAGTGATGACAAAGACGGAGTACCTAACCACCTCTATTTGAAGTCCCCTAGGACTGGGGTTAATTAATGAGACTCATCCTAAGGTTATACATGATCTATTACTTCCTCTAATTAGAAATAATAATCCTGATCATTATGCTGGTTAGCTGGAAAGAAGTAAGATGAATGTGCTTAGCTATGATTAATAGTCTTTAAGTAGTGTAAATCTCTTCTGTCACTGAGTTATATGCAAACTGGGCTGCAACTCAATGCTTTTTCATGATATATATAATTTTTACAACTTGCAGAAAGAATTAATTTTCTGTAAGAACTTTTTACCTTTTATGATAAAGAATAAGCATTTTATTATTTTAAAATTGATTACCACAACAAAAATGACTTATTTTTCCATTTTGTATGAAATGGCTATCCAATAATTTTATTCTCTTGCCTTTTAAGTATTTTCTCCCAAATTACGTGAATACCTACGTGCATCATATTTTAGTCCATTCTGCTGAGGTGAAACAGGCCACTGCATGTGATTATATACCAATATTTTTTAAGTAAAAAAATTTTAATGATAATGATTACAGTATTTACTTACTGCTGTTTTATAAGGGCTGATGTCTTCCCTTTGCTAACCGACAACTTAACCTGACACTTTTATATGTCAAAGAAAGCTATGGAAAGTTACTATCTGGTTAGAGAAATGAAACACATCCGCAGAGAAAGTTAATCACCTATTGTTTTGATGTGACTAATTTAGTTGTAATAAGATTGAAAATTTTGGATCCTTTTTGAATCAAACACAACTTATATTGCTATGTCAGTTTAAAGTCTTTGGAACACTCTGCATGCACCATTTAATTTTGGTTCTGATGTCTGAGTAAAGTCAGATGTAACTATACAAATCTTGGGAAACTGAGACTAAAGCAGTTATAATTCTAGTGCATTCATGCTTTTTATTTCAAACTTTGCAAGAATGTAATAGTACACGGAAGAGCAAGGTGGTCAGAAATATAGCATTTCTGGACCTGTTAAAATTTGTTAACCAAGGAGACAGGGATTTTAGGAGTAAAACAAACTCTGAGTCACATGGTCCTCATTCACAGCTCACGAACTGTGAGGCCCTAGGAATAATTTGACTTCAGAACATCAATATGCTCATTTTTAAAGTGCTAATAATAATATTTATCATATGTTAGAGAGTTAAGAATTCATAATTATCTCATATGTTCATTGAGAGGTGTGACTTAATACACATAAAATATCATCACAGTGCCTAGCATATACTGTTTAACAAATGATGCGTGTTTCCCTTCCATGTTGAGAAGTATGTGCCTAGCCATATGTAAAATATACTTGAATTTTAAAATTAGGTTTCCCTTTTGTTATTTTCATTGCAGGAACCCAGAGCGACTAAAGATTTAAACTAATTGATATTGTCAATTGACTTATTAAAACTACAAATGTTGATTATTTTCCACTAAAAATTTCACAGGATCACTTAACAAACTAAAAGCTTTTGCTATCAAAATTATGAATAGATTTCATATTTGGGGCTTTCAATGAGATCGCTTAACACCCAAGTATGCCTTTCAAAAGGTGTGGACACTGATTTTCTCTTTCGATAATTAACTTCTATACTCTCTAACCAATGTAAATAAATTTATTGTTCCCAATTTCCTCTTTTTACATTTGAGTTTAATAATTCATGAACAATATTCTATTCTCAATGTGTTTTATTATGTCAAAACAAAGCAGTAAACTGGTTATCAATATTTAAGCAATAATTATTAAATTTTCAATGAGATATTCAAAACAATGAAGAAGCAAGCATTTAGGCAACTACTGTGTGCTCTCAACTGTGCTTGTAAATTAAGAAATATAAAAGACATAATAACCCACAGAATCACAGATAAAATAATAAATGAAAAAAAGATAGAAAATCATGTATACTGAACACAACTATGTGACATAATATATCTTTGTGCGGTAAGAGGCTGGTAAATTTTCTTGGAGAACATGAAACTTGAAGCCTATTCTTAAGGAAAGGAATTAAAAATTGGAAGAGAGAAACGTATAGGTAGGAAAACAAAACAAAAGAACTTAATCCATAGATTAAGCCAAATTCTTTGATTGTGCTCATGTTTGACTGAGAAACAGAGGCAAATAATTACAATAGATTCAATCTGTAGGATGTCTTAAAATACAGATGGAAAGAAATGTTACTTTTTTTTTCTTTTTTTTTTTGCGTTATGCGGGCCTCTCCCTGCCGTGGCCTCTCCCGTTGCGGAACACAGGCTCCGGACGCGCAGGCTCACGGGCCCAGCCACTCTGCAGCATGTGGGATCTTCCCAGACCGGGGCACGAACCCGTGTCCCCTGCATCGGCAGGCGGACTCCCAACCACTGCGCCACCAGGGAAGCCCAGAAATGTTACTTTTGATGTCAGAGACCCTAGGGGTAATTTAGAGGTTTTTAAAGTACTCAAAACATGATTTTGAGCTACCTGTGTTAATTTAAACTAGAAATATACATGGAGTTTCAATTTCAACTTAAAATATTGGAAGATATGGATAAATTATAACAGATTTTATTAAATAAACTTTCTTTTTTGTAAAATTAATTTATTTATGGCTGTGTTGGGTCTTCGTTGCTGCGCGCGGGCTTTCTCTAGCTGTGGTGAGCGGGGGCTACTCTTCGTTGTGGAGCATGGGCTCTAGGTGTGTGGACTTCAGTAGTTGTGGCACTCGGGCTCTGTAGTTGTGGCACTCGGGCTCAGCAGTTGTGGCTCACAGGCTCTAGAGCGCAGGCTCAGTAATTGTGGCACATGGGCTTAGTTGCTCCAAGGCATGTGGGATATTCCCAGACCAGGGCTCGAACCCGTGTCCCCTGCATTGGCAGGTGGATTCTTAACCACTGTGCCACCAGGGAAGCCCAGATTCTTTATTTTTATTATTGATTTAGAAAAAAATTCCACACAAGTAGAGTTCATTTTATTATTTTCTGAAGACATTTTGTGAATCAAAATCACTTCCAAATAGATATAATAATATGTGCGGAGAAAGTATACATAGAAATAAATAATGCGTATGTATATAATAAAGGTATATATGTAGTAATAATTTGCCAAAACTTCAGATTGACACAAGATCTCTTACCAAGTTGAGTTTAAGTGGAGATAACATCATAAATGATTAATCCAATCAGAATGTCACTCTGTCAATCAACTATAAAACTGACATCTTGATAAATTAATAAAAATGTTTCTGAAATTGTCAACTGAACAAATTTGCACATTAAATAAACGTGTTGATAGCTGGACATATGCCCTTCTAAGAGCATGGAAGTAACAAATATGAAAGCTACAAACATTTGGATTAAAAAAAAATCATACCTGTAGGCCTTGTCCATCCACAGTAACAGAGTTGGCTCTTTGCATTTTGTTCTTGTCAATCACTTTGTTTGACAGCTGGGAGCCACCCTTTTCCTTTTTCACTGTTGCTTGTCTTTCCTGTAAGGAAAAAATCTTTTATAAAAATACTGAATTGTTTCACTACAATGGGCAACATAGAGAAGAATTTCACGGCTACAAACTTGGGCCCAGGTTCCAAATTTGGAGTTTCTAGTGAATAATATGAAAGCTAATGTTTTCTACTGGCTCAAAATATATGATAGATGTATGATCAAAATATCAGTTAAAGAAAGGATGTGAAAGAAAACCAAACTGTATTATCCCTAGGTACCCAATTATGACTCTGTTAAAAATTATTAAAGAACACTAAAGCTAATCATTTTCAAAAACAATGGTGCAGATAATAATACAGGATTGTAATGTAAAGGATTTGGTACTGAGCACTGAAAATAATGCTTATAAATACATGCAATATTGAAAATGAATACATGATGGACCCTTAAGCTACTATTGGTTATCAAGAATGGCACACAACTTAAAACACACATTCCATCCCAGCTAATTGCTATGTTCACCATAATAGAAAAAATTTTTATAGTGGTATTCTTCCTGTTTTTATTTCCTCTCTTTTCACTCTTTTCAACACAACCCAATAAACTTTTATCACCATTAATCCACTAAATCAGCTTTTATTAAAATCACCAATGACCTACTCATTTGCGCCTCACCTGTTGGTCAGTCTTCACCTTCTCAATTTTTAAACAGAGTTTGACAGAACTGACATCTACCCTCTAGAAAACATGCCTCAACTGGGTTCCGGGACACTTCTTTCTCTTAGCTCTCCTCTTACTTGACTAACTGCTCCCTCATAGTCTTTTTTGTTGATTTCTCCTCCAGCTTTATAATCTGTAACGTTTAACACTTGACCTCTCCCTTGGACCGCTCATCTCCACAATCTATACTCACTCCCTAGGTAACTTCATTTAAAACCAAGGCTTTCAATTTCACTTTGATAATGAAGACTTGCCTACCCACCTTAAAAATAAATCCCAAACTGGACGATTATTCACCACATGCATCATCACATGGTTTAAGCACCCGTTATCTGCCTTAATTATCAGGCCTTAATTATCGTAGCCATCACCTTAATGGACCAATCAGCGTCCATCTTTTGTCTCCCTACAGTCAATTTTCTATATAGCAGCCACACTTATCCCTTTTTACTCCACTCCAGCTACAACTACCTCACCTTTGTTTCTTGATCACAACATTTGTGCTCTTAAAACAGGGATCTTGCAACCACTCTGAACTCTGCTGGACTGTTCTTGCTCCTGGTCAAATGTAAGACAGGCTACTCTATTCCTCTCTGTGTGTGTGTGTGTGTGTGTGTGTGTGTGTGTGTGTGTGCGCACGCACTGTTTCACATCAGATCCTAGATCAGTGCCTGATAAAATCCCCATAAATGAATGCGGAAATAAATTAATCTTAACACTAAAAAATCAAAAAATTTAAAGTGCCTGAAATATTGTGTTGAGAAGGACTCCTGGGGCATGTCTAGGTTTGTTGTGAAAAACTGTCCTGATCAATTAGCAATGTCTGCCATGTGTGCTTAAAAGTTTGAGTGCCACGTATTTCCTATCACTTATTCAGATATATATATACATTTCTGTTCCTATATTTACATATATCTTGTCGATTACTTTTCAATTACTGTAATTTAGGAAAATATTTTAAGTGGAAATATTTTAAAAGTAAAGCTCTTTTAAAATATATTAGGGCCAGATGGAACAGAAAACGTCTCAGACCAAAATAAATGCTCATCAGTGTAGTCCTTTTATAGTCCTTGCAAATTCATGGTGCAAAAATACTGAATATATTTTTTGTGTGGCTGAAAATGGATGGTGTAATAGGATTCCTGAAATTCAAATTCTTTGGAAAATGATGTACTTTCATATAAGCATAATTTCTGGCAAAAATATTGATATTTTAAAAAATAGATCATTTTTTCTAAGCTTGCAAATAACATTTTGTCCATAGATAGTTAAGGGTATAATGCATAAATGAGTGAATTATAGGATGAGGTTTGGAATCAGACATCCCAAGTGGAATCCCATCTCTGCTACCTAAATACTATGTAGACTTAGAGAACGTACTCTTATTCAAAATGGAGTCAGTAATACCTATTTCTCAAAGTCGTGTATGGCTTGACAGAAAATGTATAAAGTTCTAATATTGTGCCTATGTAAGTGTATGTGCTCAATAAATGAAAGTTACTGTGAATTATGTAAAATAGGTATGGTTCTTCCATTAGGGTGCTCATCAATGTCACCATTATGCAAAATGCTTGTTATATTTCCAAATACATATATATGAAAAAATCCACTAGTTACAACAGGCATATATTTAAATAAGTAAAGCTCAATGTTTATATTAGAAAATCCATAGCAGCTTGTGCTGAGTGCAAGCATGTAACACTGTTGGTGGGTATGGGAATAATTTTTTTCCGGGTTCTAGCATGCAGGTAAATAAAACATGGGAAAAATGTTCTATAAAAATCTATATTGTGAAAGTTATAACTTATCTTATATGTCTTATATTCTGCCATGTAATCCAACAATTGTTATTTAGTATTTAATTCCTAAATGCTTAGGTTATAAGAACTAAAATAAAATTTTAGTCACATTGGAACTTGGTATTTGTGACCAGACTATTTATAAATGTAATTCTGGAAATTTAAGACATGTAAGTATATGTCTGTAAAGAGTTACCAAATTATCTATTAATATTATTTTATTCTTAGCTATGCATATAGCTAGCGAGAATCCTGTGTGGTGAGAATCTCCAGCTAACAGTTAGCAGTTGATTAAGTGGTTTCATGTCTCTCCAGGGAGTCATCCCTCTGAATAAACTGTGGACTAAACTAAACTAATGCTTTCTAGTAGCAACTGTAGCAACTGAAATATAAAAAGAAATTTTAAAACTCTAAATTGTGTTTTCAATTGATAAGATTTTCTTTTTGAAATCTAGACTCATAAGAGGTATATAACAAGTTAATAAAAAAATCTTCAGTCTACCCATTGGCAGGTGAATTTTATTACATAATCTGGATAATACTAAAACTTACATTAGTTTAAACACACACACACACATACACACACACACAATCAAGAAAAGCAAGTGGTTTCTTTGAGGGAAATATGCTTAGTGGGTAGAATTTGTGGAATTAATCAAGGCTGACAATTTAAAAACAGGAGAGACTCATAATCATTTGATTTTTCCCATGGTTCTCTTTTTATTATACTCATTTATTTTAGGTTTATTTCCAAATTGTATGGAAGTCTCTCTGAACTATTCACTGTATTCTACTTAAGCAGCATAAGCTAACAGGAGGGTAGTTGGATACTTTTTCCTATTTCCACTAAGAAAATCTTTACTTCTTTCCTCTTTTATATGAGGGACAGGAAGGGTGAAGTAATTGCATCTTTGAAAAATCTGATGTTCACAAAAATTTCACTGGCCTCTTCGGGGGGTAAATTCACCCTGACTGACTGAGTTCTATGATGATATTTAAGAAAGTTACTTCCTATGTTGAAGTTACTGAAAAGTTTCAGGAAGAGCTCACCAGCGTTATTCTGCACCTTTATTCAGGATAAAATTGCTCTCTAATAATAGGGGGCAGTGCTTATCACTTCACCGTCAGTTTTTTTTTTTTTTTTAAAGTTTTTGGGCTCTAAATCACAAAATAAATTATTTTGTTATAATTAAGGCAAATTTTATTCTGCTAGATAAATTATCCCAAATATAAAGAGTGGGCTTCCCTGGTGGTGCAGTGGTTGAGAGTCTGCCTGCCAATGCAGGGGACACAGGTTCGTGTCCCGGTCCGGGAAGATCCCACATGCCGCGGAGCGGCTGGGCCCGTGAGCCATGGCCGCTGAGCCTGCGCGTCCGGAGCCTGTGCTCCCCAACGGGAGAGGCCCACGTACCGCAAAAAAAAAATAAAGAGTTGGAAAATGATTGCTTTAATCAATAGAAATTATTCAAACACTGAAAAGGGGTACTCTAACAAAAAAATCATGAAAGAATATAGAACATATAACAACAGAATATAAAATACAGTTATTGATATTTCAGCATTTTCAAATATCAACCATTTGTGTTTGCTATGCAGACATTTAAAACATAGAATTCAATGTTTTGTGATCCTTAGACTACAAGTAGAGCAACAGATCTTAACTGGGGAATATATTGTATTAGAATTCCAAAAGAATAATCATCATAATGAACAGAGAAGAAAAGCTGAAAGGCCATTCACAGAAAACAGAAAGATGAAATAAATGAAATAAAAAGATGTCACTTTACATATGTGCTCTAAAAGAAGTCTTTTTCTATATCATGCTGATTCTCAGAAGCAGGGTATTTGTAAGTTGCTGAAAACTGCTTTCACAAAAGCGATGCTTACCACAATACTTAAGCCTGCTGTTATCGATCACTCACAAACGACAAGCAGCAAGTGATGATTACCTCAGGCACAGGGTTTTCTTCTTTTTGTCCAACCTCAGCATGAGAGACAGGCAGCAGCAAAGCACCACTATTGGTACAAAGCCACAAAGGGTGGGGGTAGGCGGTGCTTGGCTGCCAAGAGCATCCTTTACTGGAACCCTGGGACTTGCTTTCTCTGCTACTGCACCGCTTGCCCAAATGGAGACTTAGCCCACTCAGCCACTGGATCTAGGCCCCAAGAATTTCCCAGGAACCCTAGAATTTTAACCTGAGGAACATATGGATATTCACAATATAAACGATCTTCCTGAAGCAGGAGTGTTACCATGTTCATCTGGGCTTATACAAGTTATGAGCTCCAAGAAACCAACTTAATGACAGCTGCGCCTTTAATTATCGTAACCTTATTATGGGATTTGAACATTTTCCTGCTGAAAAACATTAATTCATTTCAAAAATGGCAAAGGCTTTAAATCTACTAGAAATCCTCAGAAGTTGCAGCGAGACATGGCTGAGTAGCTAAGTAGTCTTGGTTTTTAGAAATACTTTTATAAAGTTTTAAACATAACTATAATAAATGATACAAAGATTTCCATTTCTTTTTAATCAGTTAAATAAGTACTTATTCGAAAACAAAAACAAAAATTACTTTGGGCAGAGGTAAAAATATGGGCTTGGAGGCCGAATTCTAGCTTTGTCTCTGTAAAGACTTGGGCAAGTTATTTACTATCTCTAAGCCATCATTTAATTAATCTATAAAATGGGAGGGTTCATGTGACGACAAATTGAGAAAATGTCAATGAAGGTACCAGCATAAATTAGGCACTCAGTAAATGGCAGTAATTTTTAAAATATAAAAGAACTTGGTATGTTTTATCATTAAGTTTAACACAGGTACACTGCTTGGATTATAGTAAAGATAGGTGTTATGAAAAAGTACTTTATTTACTTTATAGTATTTTATTTGTTTGTCCACTATGTCACCATAACTTGGGATAATTGTTGTGATAATCTGAGTCTCTTTTTGTTTGTTTGTTTTTGTTTGTTTTTTTTTACGGTACGCGGGCCTCTCACTGTTGTGGCCTCTCCCGTTGTGGAGCACAGGCTCCGGACCCGCAGGCTCAGCAGCCATGGCTCATGGGCCCAGCCGCTCCACGACATGTGGGATCTTCCCAGACCGGGGCACGAACCCGTGTCCCCTGCATCAGCAGGCGTACTCTTAACCACGGCACCACCAGGGAAGCCCAATCTGAGTCTTTTGTAGGAGGATAGAAGACAACAAACTAGACAGAGTCAATCCTAGTCTTAACGTACTTGCAGGTACTACTCACCAACTCAGCCTGAAGGTATAATTTATATCTTGATCCACAGCCCTGGTTTTCATACATCGCACATGATGTGCATATTCTCTCCTAGGATAATTTCATACTGAGTGTGAACCATTTACAAGATTTCTGCTCAAGAAATCCTGATTGGAAGAAATGAAATTTAGGAATGGGAAGGTCCATGTCTAAATCATTTATTTGGGCTGTGTTTACTAGCATATGGTTGGGCCACTATAAAATTATGTGTGAGTGTATGGACCTCAACCTTACTCACTCTCCATTCCCTTTGTAAACTATAATAATTGATGGCCACCATAAGCCGAAGCTTAAAAGCCAAGAGGCAGCTCTCTTGTATATTCGTACTCATCATCTCTTTCTGCCAGTTGAGTTAAATGCTTAACCTAGTGATTTCTATGTAGTCCCCAATCTGTTTATTCAAGTTCTAAGTAGAATTTATTTTATTATTGGTACTGTGGAATTTAATTAGCACTCAAACTATTGAGTTTTGAATGTAAAATAAGTTATTTCCATGAAAAATTACTTGCATCCTTTGGAAAGGCACAATAAAACAAGATTGTGTGTGTGTGTTTGTGTGTGTAGGAAGAGCAGTTAAGTTGGGCTGGACACAATGACTAAAAGATTTGAGAATTAATAATAGAAACAGTTTTTTTTTTTACACTCAAATTGCTTTGCAGATGCCTGTGAGTTTTTCTTATACTTTAAAACAATTGAAAGTAATTGAAAGCAATTACTTTCATTAATAAACAAATATCTTTTCACAAAATAAGGAATGCTTTCGTTATACTTTAAAACAATTGATAATTGAAACTTATCAAGGGTGTTAAGGCTGTGCTATATGCAAGAAAGGGTATATGCCATTTCCAAATAACAGATGTATCCACATAGAAAAGCCCTTGATCCCATGTGAAAAGTTTAGCCAATGAATATACGTTTACATATTTTAAGTAAAATGTTTAAGGTATATACACATTTTTCTATAAGTTCCCCTACATACACTTTAACCACATTTTCAATTAACCAAAAAGCAATTGTTCTTGATGGTGGTGTATAAGGCTTCTTGTGTGTGTGTGTGTGTGTGTGTGTGTGTGTGTGTGTGTGTGTGTATATTCACACAGTCACCCATGTATATATCTATACATGTGCTTAAAGAAATTTTTGGAACAACATAGTTGAAAAAAGCTTATATAATGATTTCGGACACGGTAGAAAGTTTAAGTTAATGCAAACCAATACAGCTTGCCAAAACAAAACAAAACAAACAAACAAAAAACAGTATAGGAAGACTTTTAAAAACTTTATAGCAGACAAAGAGTTTTTCTTGACAAATAAAAAAAGCATGTTTTGAAAACAGCAGTTTTGGTCTATTTATTCAATCTATAATAATACAAATTATTTAACTAAATGTGGGAGATATTTTGAGATTAACAAGTCTAAAGAGAAAACTTTAAACCTCTCAGTTCATCATTTGATGAGCTATGATAGGGGCAAAAATAAACTCAAGGATCTTAACATATAAAGTTAATTCTCTGACACTTAAATAATTAGCCTAAATAATAAACTTTCCTAATACCTTTGTCACCTGAGTGTGTAATTTAACATCTACTTTATAATAATTATGATAATGATGGTATCAACTGACTTAAAGAATATAAAAACAGTTTAACATCTCTCTTAGAGTAGAAACATTATATTTCAAGCATAGCTCCTAGTATATTTGTTACAAAATGAAATTTTAAAAAATTTTAATGAGGCAGTCTACACTGATTAGAAAACGTTTCATGGGGAAGGGAGAGGTTATTACATTTTTGTGCAATTATGTTATCCTCTAAATAAATCATACTCATATAGTATTCAGATATTACGAGTAATATTTTCTAAGCAAGTAGATTCAAATTATAAATTTAGGCGAAAGAATACCACCTGAGGATATCCTTTAGAGATAACAGCAATTGAATGGGATATTGTCACAGAACAATGTGGAGGCTTTGCTTAATTAATTAAAAGGTAAAGTTAACACTTTACTGAAAATAGATGTTGTGGCAATGCCTACATTTATTTTCAAAATCAAAGTAATTTACTTTGTGAATATATATATATATTTTGTGTGTGTGTGTGTGTGGTGTGCGGGCCTCTCACTGTCGTGGCCTCTCCCGTTGCGGAGCACAGGCTTCGGACGCGCAGGCTCAGCGGCCATGGCTCACGGGCCCAGCCGCTCCGCGGCATGTGGGATCCTCCCGGACTGGGGCACGAACCCATGTCTCCTGCATCGGCAGGCGGACTCTCAACCACTGCGCCACCAGGGAAGCCCTGTGACTATATTTTATTCCATTGACTTTCTATGCAATGTCATATGCTAAGTGATTAATGTAGACCTACTCTTTTAAAAGTGATGAGGACTTCAAAGTGAGCAAGAGTATCTCAATTTTCTATCATTGAAAAAAGCTACATTTTTATGGCTTAGAGGAGTGAACTGTTTGGGTTTTCTGCAAGGTTTAAATGTGACAGATAGGAATAATGCTATTCTTATACACTGGTCAAAACTCTGCAAAGTAACCTTTATTTTTTCCTGCATATTTTGTGCCATTTATCTTCTTGTTTCCCTAATGCTTGTCACAAATGTTGATTATAAAGGCTGCAAGTCTATCCCACATGAAAATACAAAGATCCCAATTTCAAATATCAAAATATGAGAAAAAATAAAGCCTACAAATTAACTTTAGTATGTCACTGATACAGCTCAAAATGTTCTTTATAACAATACGAGATGTATAAATGACCTATAATTGCAAGTGTGAAAACCTTTGCTTACGCACCTCAGGGACTGAAACTCCTGAAGTGGGCAGAGTCTGCTGAAAAAAGAGAAGCTCATATTAAAGCTGAACAAAAAAAGTCATACTGAAAACAAGTACCAGTGAAGGTTCTTATATCACTACACACGTGTGAAATAAATGAATACATTACAAATACATTTCCTTGTCATAATTTTTCTGCTTACTTCCATTAATAAACCAAAATCTTTTCATGAAATAAGGAACATTCTAATGCAGAGGGGATTAGACTGTAGAATTACTTATCCAAAATACAATTTCATATACTTAAAGTAGACTAATCTTTGGCCAGCTTCACAGACCTCTCTACAATAATACTGATGTATTACATTCATATTTTGGAATGAGAACTCATCTCCAAGTTCCATTATCCTTCATAAACCATTCTTACTAATTTTTTAAGTTGCCCGTTTACACAGCCCACCATTTCACTTTCTAGGCCAACTTTCAACCCTTTCTACAAATACTCAGTGTCTTTTGATGTAGACACAGCTTATGGTGCTGATTTTATTTTGTGATACTCTGGAAATAAAAAATATATATTCCATTAATAGCAGTAAAAAATAAAAAGATAAATAAGTAGCAAAATTTTACTTGAGAGTAATTATTAAAAGATTAGGTTAAATACACTAAAACCAGTCTTCATGACAGCATGTCTTCAATTACCCACCACCCTTCCTTTTCTAAGTCACATTGGGAAAGTTTTTTTCTGGCAAGAAACAGAAAAGGTTACCAAATTCCAAAAGCCTGTGTCCTGTGGGACTTTATAACATAAAACACAAATTTGGAAGAATAGGTGATAAATCACACTCAATACTAGATAAAGATTTTCCTTGGTTGCGAGGAGTAGGAAAGCTGGATGGGAAGCTAGTCCTTAGACATTTTGTGTCTCTAGAAAGAAGAGAGCAGTCAGTATATTTGAGTTTCCTCTCCTGGACCAAGCTATGTGTGTGAGACTCCCAAAATGAGAATGAAAGATCTGAGAGCACAGTTATTAGCTTACTGCCTTACCCAGTAGAACTCCAGGAAGGCAACAAAACACAAAAGAATAAATAGCTCCATGTGAGGCTTCATGGCTGCTTGTACAGATATGGAGTAGAAGGATCCAATGTACCCAAAAGTGGAACAGAAGGAGAAGAAGTCTAGGGCAACCCTAGAGAAAATTAAAGTGTCCAGGAATACAACTCTCTTTGGAATATATTTCCAGGGGCTTCCCTGGTGGCGCAGTAGTTAAGAGTCCACCTGCCGATGCAGGGGACACAGGTTCGTGCCCCGGTCCGGGAAGATCCCACATGCTGCGGAGTCGCTGCACCCGTGAGCCATGGCCGCTGAGCCTGCGCGTCTGGAGCCTGTGCTCCGCAACGGGAGAGGCCAAAGCAACGAGAGGCCCGCGTACCGCAAAAAAAAAAAAAAAAAAAAGAATATATTTCCATAATATAAGTAAAAAATTCTGCAGCAACAGATTTTTAGTAAAAAAAAAATCATGAAGTCTGGGAGGATGAACTCGAGTCAACTAACCCATTAACAGGAGAAGCCTATGAGGGCCATTGCTGTTGTTTCTCAGATGGATTGACAACAGGTTTGGTAGAACTTTCACTGAAAGCTTCTGATGTCAGTAATATTCTGGATTTCTGAGTCCAAGTCAGCCTATATAACACCTGGGGCAATGGGTGGTGGGGAAAATGTTTGCGTTTGCTTCAGTCGGGACCAGCTCAAAGCATTTTGTCAGCCTTCTTTCCTTCTTATTTCTTGGTTGAAGCTTAGACCTAAATAAACATTTAAAGACATGAATGTAGCCCTTCCATCTTTATCATAATATACAAATATTTGATCTCCTCAAATCCAGATTAATTGCCTTATGCTATCCCATCCCATTGACCAGGGACTCTCAAGCAATCAAACTAAGATGCCCATCAGGCAGTTTCTAGGGCATGAGTCTCAGATGCCTTCTATCTTGGGAAGTGTCAATGCTCACTGTGCATATGTCTGTACAGAGCAAGTCAACAGAAAGCCAAGTGAAAAGACTATAGTTACCAAATGATTCAGACTAACAACCAATTGCAGTGCAAGGACTTCAAATAGCATAGCTCCTATCCACCCCACCACTACCACCAAAAAAAAAAAAAAAAAATCAATCAATAAAGGATATTTTTGAGCTAATTATGGGCATATGATATAGACAGAATAACTACTGATATTATGGAATAGTTAATATTTTCAGGTGTGATAACACTCTTGTAAATGTATAGAAAATTGTTCTTATCTTAGAATGTGCCTTCTGATGTTGTGTCATACTACCTGCAATTTACTTTCCAAAGGTCCAACTTATTATATACTATGTGTATATTGTAAAAATGTATATATATGCATACATAGTCATATATATACATATATATATAAAGAATGATTGAAAAATAATAATTAGTTCATATAGGTTGAGGATATACTGCATTCACTGTATTTTGTTTGAGAATTTTTGTAACGAAATTTGGGAGAAAAACTGATCTCCCTTTCTAACTTTTTTATACATCCTTTTATTCCTAAAAGAGTGCAAAAATGTTTCTACAACGAAATAAAATATATGTGTGTGCGTGCGTGTGTGTGTGCGTGTGTATGTGTGTATTGGGTTGGCCAAAAACTTTGTTCGGGTTTTTCCGTAACATCTTATAAAGAAATATAGGTAAGCATCTAGCTTGCTGGGAAAAAGCAGCAGAGAGAGACAGAGAGGGACCATTTGAAAATAAACGATAAAAGGGGTTCCTTAAAAAAATAATGTTTCAGATGAGGCAGAAGTTCATAGAGTCAGGTATTAGCCTTTTCCAAATCTGTTCATTTTGAGGGAGTGTCTAATGATGGAAAAAGAGTTCTGAGTTTTTATTCACAGGGGTTTCAAGTGCAAAAATGTACAGGGGCCAAGAAGGTAATACAAATGGGCCCAATGCCACGAAAAGGCAAAGACTGTGCCAAGTTGGATAATAAAAATCCCACTTTAAGACATCCCTTACAGAAACACGATGGGATGAAATTGAAGCCTGGCTGCCATGTTGCTACCACTTTCATAGAGAATCTGTAATTTACAGATATTCATGTTTGCAGCCTTCGTTTTTCTCAGAGTGGTGGTGACGTGAATTATCTACAGAGGGAGTGAGCGAAATTGGCAGAGAGGTAGCAAGATGGAGAAAGTAAGAAAATAGTAGAGATTTTGTCACTACTTCTCTGAGAATGGGAAAGCGGCTGATGAGTAACAGGATCAAGCGAAATTAAGGGCTCAGCTGGAACTAGAAGTAATAAATATGTAAGAGAGAAAGCCACCAGCTCTGAGAATCTCTCCAGCAATCCTCAGCCGTCTGAGAGCAACACTAGAAATTCATTCCAAGAATAAGGGGGATGAAAAGAACATATATATGAGCTCACTTTCAATCAAGATATGTAGGCAAAGAGTATACATTAAATTAACACGCTCATCAATAGCCTAACCCTGAGTTACAATAAGAAAACCACGGCATCTGGGCAAAAGAAAAAGAAGCAAGTTGACAGGAAACAAATTCAGAGATTACATACTTCTTTTTTCTTCTACCATGTATGATTTTTAAATATCTAGGATGAACAGAGTAAATGTTTCAGTTTTTTGAAAATTATCACGTGTGTAATTCTAAATGTAATGTATTTTTAATCAGAATTAATACAGGAAGTGTGTATTTTTTATTTAATCAAATGTGAGGTGTGACTACAGAGGAATGTGATTGATTTTATTTAATCAGTATCATTTTAATATTAAATAGAATACACAGTACAGATAATTAGTTTAAAAGATGCATTTGCCTTCAGGGCACTTATTAAGTTTAACCTAATATCAAGAATTTTTAAAAGTCCTATTATTCTTAAGTATTGAGATATCTCTTGTCTTCATATTTCCTAACATGTAATCATTTTAAATTGACAATTTAATTCAAATTGTCATAGGACAAAGAAAAAAATCTTTGATGGAGAGATTATTAGAGGTTTGACTTAGTTTAACTATAATAAGAGTATAGTACTCACATTAAAAGGGTCATCAGTTATTTCAAGAAAAATGAACAGAATTATACCTTCTACCTATATAAGGATGTTCATATTTTTTAAAAATTGCTTTCATGTTTATGGTCTCATTTAATCCTCCCAATAAAACAAGAAATCCCATTTTCCAGGTTGGAAAACTGAGAATCAGAAAGTTTAGATGACTAGCCAAGAAAATTAAGTTAGTGGCAGAATCCAGATCTATTGCTTCCCTTTGCAGGCTTCATTTATTAAAAGAACAGCAGGGTTCAACAAGAACTTTTTTTAAAAGGTTTCTTTTTAGCCATGTCTCATTTTTTAAGCGATCTGGAAATAAAATTAGTTTAAATGTTGATGAACACTCCAAATATTTAGAAACCACAAAGTATTACAGGTTCTGACAGGCTTGGATATCAGTATGGAGTAGCTGAATACAATAACTCCAGTGCCATGATAAACGTAAACTGGCCAAATAAAACTATTTAAAATAGCTTCTTTTCCTTATATAACTGGATATCCCTGGCATTAAAAAAAGTGAGAGACAGAAAAGCAGGTTTGGGAAAAGAACAACTGTCTTCCTAAAATGGTGCACTGCCTCAGTCTAAGAGGGGAAGCTGTTCCTTCCTCACACATGATAATAAAATGTATCCAGGGCATCTCTAGGTATAGAAACTAAATACATATTTGGTTTCCATGAATTTTATTTTTACATTGAAGCTTCATAATTTCTTTAACCTTTTATGATTTCACACATCCTTAAGTGTGTACACCCACACATCTGAACACAATACAAATTTTAAAAAGAAATGGATCAGAAGTGATTTTTATACTACTATTGCATTTATTAACATCTTTAATCAAAGGTTATTTCAGTGTATGACAAGTGTATCAATTAGAAGAAACATAAATTATTTTTCTTTTCAACTGGTCCTTGACATATCTAATAAATATGTGCGGGGGAGGGTTGGATTGGGAGTTTGGGACTA